CATGACTTTGGTGTCTAGAATTTGGGGACTACTGGAAGGTGAGTTTTGACTTCAGACACATATCAGGAGTGTTGCTTAGCAGCAAGAACAAAGGCAAGATGGCTTTAAACTCATTTCGGCCTTCCAAATCTCACACAAGGGCATCCCCCTGGTAAAATTTAATTAGTATCTGGCAATCTAGCTGCAAGGGAATCTGATAAATGTGATTTCTACCTTTCTAGGCCCTAGTGTTCAGGAATATGCATAGAAGGATTTTGGAATAGATGCTTACTTCCAGCTGGAGATAACCTGCTCAGGGGAGTGACTTTACTCCTTACAGAAAGAACGCAGCCCTGGTCTAAAAAAGAGGCCGAGAGGAGAGGGAAAGAAGAGTAGCACGCCTTACATATGCAAACTAATGCAGAGCCAGACCTCCGTCTGGCCCATGAACTCCAGGAGGCAATGTTCCTCTGCCCTAACCATCCTAGGGCCAGGTACCAGGCAACTGGGAACCACTCCTATAGCCCAAAGCCCTCCAAAATTATTCATATTAGCCAGTCATAAACTGTTTACCCTGCCGTGTCTTGCCTTTCCTGTGGAAACTCAGATAAACCCATGGCCTAAGCCCTCCCTCCACTCCTGTCTTCTGCCTCCTGACCACCGTAGAGCTCTTTCACGTGGCCCTGCATGAAGTGGCATGCCTCCCGGCTCCTGTTAGCCTCACATGGCCTATAAGGATAATGAACTTTGCTTTCCTGAGCCTCTGCTGGGCCTCCTCTTGTAGCCCCACTTGGCTGACCATGTCATAAAAGAACCCCAAACTATTTCCCAAACACATGAATCAATAGTTCTCTATTTGGCTTAAGCTAGTTTAAATGCCTGCTATGGATTTCTGAAATAGTCCTGAGTAATATAAGCAACTTAAAAAGTTTAAAACTATATAGCTAGCAACCTTGAGCAACCTCAATTCCAGCAACAGAATGAATATGGGTTTTGAAGAGTAAAGCTTGTGGGTCCAAATGGTGCAAATTTTTCTTATGCTTTTGTTTCCTCTGAAATTAGTTATTACTGACAAGTATTTAGAGTAGCTCAGCTGCACAACTGTTATTTTCTACATCTCATAAATTTTGGGAGTCATAAGATTAAAACAATTCTAGGTTAGATCTGACTTAATGAAATTGTGAGATATTGACGTAATGAAAAAAAATTTGTATTTTAAGTTCCCTATTTTTTAACACTCCCTTGAGCCAAATATGTTTTCCATTTGGGTGACTTAAAAGAGAGAGGCAGAGATATTTTCAGATGTCAATTCAGGGAATAATTTTACTTCTTATCAATTATACTTCGAAGTCTGTTAGAACTGATTTTCCTATCTCTTTCTGCTCTTGGGAGAACTTTATAAGTAGTGAGCTCTTCAGTCTCAAGAAAATAATGATTTGCACACACACCTCCCCCCTGTATCTGAAAGAAACTGTAATGAATAAACTAGCACATATCTGAGTGAGCTGCAGAAATTAATTTTCGATGGTATACAGTGCTTCTTGGTTATAAAGACCTGCGTCCTTTTTTCCTTTCACCGTGGTGCCAGCAGTATTGCCATGTTTATAATTGATAACCAGGTTTTACATTTTGGAAACACCTTTCATTTGTGAAATATGATTTGTATAATTAGAGAAATTATAAATCTACGCAAGATTTGGGGTATTTAGGGCTGAGGGAAGGAGGATCTTGATCTAGGGACAGTCTTCACAGATGTAAAAATATTTGCTTGGGGGGAAGATGGAAGAGTAATGCCAATCATTTTAGCTGTATCCCTGAAGATGTTTATCCTGAAGAGAAGTGGAGAAAGCGAAGGAGAGAGAACTATGCAAATGTGGGAAACTGTAGTGAGTCCCAAAGAGTCCTGATTTTCTCAGAATAACATTTTTTACCAGGATAACATAAAATATACAATATCTGACTTAATTCCAGGAACAAAGGAAGCCACATCTATGTGTGTACCTTTTTGCTCTTTCTGTAAAATATGATCCCTAATATTTTTTGGAACCCAGTTAAGTAAACATGCAATGGTTTTACCCTAATTTGTGATGCAAATAGATAATTAATCAGGACTAGGTAAATAGGGAGATAAGTGAGCATACATACCCACACTGCTAGACTTTACATATGCACATTTCAAATCAGACCCAACAGACACTTAAGCCTGCCCATCAGAACAGATATTTACAATAGGGGAAGTTCTGGGTCAGACTCTGATTCGAGCCATTTGGAAACTGAATTGGCTGTAGCAGATTGCAAGTGGGAGAATGGCTCTGGGTCTTTTTCAGCCTAAAGCAATTACCCAGCTGTTGGAAAGTTGAAATATTGGACCAAATTATATTACCTAAGTTAAAATAAGCACCCCTGAGAATAGCTCACTATATATATTAAGGTACATGTATTATGTAAGAGTTGATATTCCTATTTCTATACCTTATGAGTCAGCCTTGGAATCTTAAATGAAAATAAATTTGCTGTTAGTATGTTTTTGACTATTTGTTTTCATTGGTTGATATAAACACTATTAGCATATTCCCAAAGCCATTACCCTCTAAGATTGGAACTTCCAGAAACATTCTCAACAAAGCTATCAGTAGAGAAATATAAATACTTAAAAAAAATATGTGTCTTGTATGTAACAACTGTGGAGTTTGACCTAAAGCTGATAATGTGCTTTAAAAAAGTCATTTACTCACAAATGGTCTTATTTAATCCATATAGTACCTCTGTACAGCACACAGAGCGCATAATATAGAATTTCCAGTTGACAAAATAAATTCTTAGCAGTAAATGACTTCCCCAAAGCCATACAATTAGCAAGTGACACATTCCTTCACTTCCTTCAGGCCCATGCTCAGATACATTCCTATCAGAGGGGCCATCCCTGATCACTTCAAATAAAGGAGGGTTTCCCTTTCATTATGGTATCTATTACCATTAGGTTTATGGTCTGTTTTTCCCCCCTCTGATTTCAACCAGGAGCTTTGTTTTGTGCACAGCCTCTAACTCAAGGGCCTGGCACATAGCAGACCTCAATAAATATTTATTGGTTAACTATAATTATGTCAATTGTCCAGCCAGTATCAGAGTTTCATACCAAAGTCAGCCTCCCTTCAGCATTTTACCCTTTCCACCCCACTAATTTGCATCCCATGTCAGAGAAGATACAAACCCCATTATCAATATACATCAATTCTTAGGACTCTCGTATTTAAATTAGAAATCGTATGCATATTAGGGTTGATTTGCTACTCAGCCTAATTTAACAAATAGTTACTGCACACCTATGGATAAGAAGCAATGATGAACCTACTAATATAGGGTAGCAATTTACCCCCAAATTTTGAAGCTCAGGAAAGGTAAATATCTGTACTTGCAGATCTTTACGTTCAGATTATTATGTACACCTAAGACTAATACAATGTTATATGTCAATTAAAACTCAATTTTTAAAAAAGGCCATTAAAAAGAGAAGAATTATTAGGTCTCTCTCATGTATCAGAATAGAACTCTTAGTCACCCCTCAAACTTTGTTTTCCCATCTTAGTCTCAGTCCACTCATTTGCTTAAACCAAATTTCTAAACATTTTCCTAGATTTCTCTTT